CCCCCCCCCCCCCCCCCCCCACTCCCCACCCCACCCCATACAACCATTGTTAATGGTTTGGTGCAATCTCATTGATATTCTTTCTCTCACACTCACTTACATACACCCAAATACAAACATCTATATATTTATTTTACAAATGTGGAATTATTCTAAACATTAAAGTCTGAAACTTGCTTTTTCTTCACTTGAGACAACAGAGATATCTTTCTAGCACAACACACATAGCTATTTCTCATGGTTTTAAATGGCTGCATTATACTCCACTTTTAAAACCACTACTCTATTATAGATATTTGGTTGGTTTTCATTCACTACGGAAACCTTAGATTTAAAATAATCAAGTGTACCATAAAGCTTTAATGCAGTTTTTGACCTCCCATGACCCACACTATATGATGCATGTATTTTAATTATCCTTTGGAAATTATTTTTAACGAGGCAATAAACTCTCAATAATAGGATCCAATTCTCAAAGCACCAGGAAGCACAGTGGATGGAGATGGAGAACGGTAGATATATTAATGGAGTCCTGCAGTTTGCTTTGATCCAGGGGTCTGCCATCTGGGTGGAATTAGGAATCACAGTGAGCATTCTTGCTCAAGAGGCACTACCCTCTATCAACCCCCCCCCAAGACTCATGACAGCTCTAGAGAGGAGGACAAGACATCTTGTCAGGAGTCACTGGGCAAGCGATGACACTGCACCTCATTGAGACACTCACTCTGTACTTTGGCCCAGGCTGGCCTAGCCCACCTGTCGTGCTGGGAGGGACACAGCAAAGCAGAAGCTGGATGATAAATAAAATAATACTCTTCTAGGCTAAAATGTGGCCCTGTAATGTCCAGAGTGGAGTTTCCAGCCTGATGAGAATATCACTCTTGGGACAGGGAATGCTGGAGATAATTGGCAAGTTTCCCAGGTTCCCAGAGGAAAACAAAACCATTCGACTCCATTTTACTTATGGTATTGGAGCTTTTGATGTCCACTATCAGAGAAGGAAATGGAATTATTGGCAGCAGTGCTCAAAAAGCAAATGTATTGAACACTCCACTTGTTCAATAGTGTTTATCAAATACCTAAATCAGTATTTATGTAATTATTGGTTAATTGTCAACCTCCCAATTAAAAGGTCAGTTCCATGAGGGTGAGGACCTTGTCCTTATTCATATCCTGGTATTTTCTCCCATCGGGGGAGAGAGAGACATTTAAGAAAAATTTTTTTTAAATTAATTGTGGTTTTAATCACAATTGCACTAAGTCCTCAAAGGAGAAGAATGGATTTGATCAGGTCAGAGAGGGCTTCTGCAAGGAAGAGAGGACTGAACCAAAATCTGGAAGATAGGCAAGTGAGGAGGGGGCAAAAGAGATTTCCAGACAGAAGGAGAGCCAAGGCCCTGAGGAGACTGAGCACAGAGCACTGGAAAAAGAGAGGGAAGATCAAGGCAGCTGTAGCCTAGAGAATGAGGCTGTTGAAGTGCAGGAGGGGAGGCTGGGGACACAGACAGGAAACAGATGCCACAAAACTACAGGCCAAGAAGTTTGGTCTTGATCCACAATGCAATGAATAGCCATTGAAGGATTTTAAGCAAAAGAGCAATAAGATCAGAGTGGCATTGTTAAAAGACGGCTGTGAGATCTTGTAAGTGGAAAGTAGATTGGAGGCCGATAAAATAGATGTGAAGAGAACAGTTAGGAAGCTATTGCAGCGACTTATCCAAGAGAAGATGTTAGTTGGACTAGGATGATAGAGATGGAGAGAAATAGACCAGCATCTGTTTAGGAAAGAAAATCAATGGGATTTGCCATTATTCAAATGTAGGGGATAAGGAAAGACCACATTAAAAATAACTACCTGGTTTCTGGATGCTGCAGCTGCTGGAGCAGCTATTCGCTGAGAAGAAGGTCCAAGTTTGGTAAGAAAGACAATGAGTTGCACTGATAGTTACAAAAAACTGAAATTAACATCCACTAACACTGAGTCCTGTGCCAAGCTGGGCCAATGCTATGCCTTCAGTGGATTATCTAACTTAATCTCAAGTGCAATCCTATAAAATAGGTGCTATTGCCCCCATATTTAGAGACGAGCAAACCGAGACTCAGAAAGGCTTTGGAATTTATCGCCATTCTTAGAGCTAAAAATTGGCAGAACTGGAATTTGAACCCAAACCTCTTCAGTTCTAAAGCAGATGGCTCTTAATGACCAACACACATACTGCTTCATGACAACTCAGGCCTACTCAGGGAGGATTTCATAATTTCAAAAGAACTTAGTAGTTAATCTGGAATAAGCCAAATCTTCCTTGGAAACCTTCTCTCAGGGCTGCCCAGAGTAAGCTCTCCACATCAGGAAGACGATTGTACACTTTCCCCCACCCTTCACTCCCCACCCGGCTTATTTTCTTTCCCTTGCTTTTTGCCCAGACTTTAAGGTTCCCTGAAGTTGCCCTGATCTCCTCAGCTTTGCTTCCTCCAAGTTCCTGTAACACTTCCAGGCTTGCCCTTCATTTTGGCAATGATCACATGCTGGCTACCCTGCAAGATTTCCATATATTTTCTACTCCCTTACATTTGATTTTTTCCAGTGTGAACTTTCCTACACTATATACTGAGTATCTTAGAAAGTCCTTCATGTGCTGAAGTCACATTGTTGTAAACAAGCTAATAAACACCAATTTCAAACTCTAACACACTATGGGTCTGGCTGCCAACCAAGAGTTCAGTTTTATCACTGGCATTATCTCTAGCTATAGAGCGCAGTCTCATTATACACGTGTCGGACTTAAGCATATTCAACTACATGTTCTTGGCAGAGCAAGAGAGAGCGAGAACTCATGCAATTTAAACAGAGCACGCCATGACGCCTGCCATTCCAACCAATGAGCACCCGTCCGTCTCACGGGACAGGAGATGAATCTGCTGTTCCGTCAGCTGGTTTCAGTTCCTAAGGACCTTTCCCAGTGTGAGTAATTCTCTGGGGAGACTCTGATCTTAGAGTTTAAAGACACATATTTTAGATATATCACAATCTCTAATTTCAGTCAACTACTTTACTATTCCTCGATTAAAGAAACAGTGACCTATCCCAAGACTGGTGAAAAATCTGTTGAACTACACAAGAGAGTGAGAGATTGTCCTTGGTAATTCTGATGTCATGTAATTTCCACCCTACACTTTCTTTTGGGAACTACCCCTAAGATATGACTACAGTGATGGCAGCATATGTTCGTGTAATTCCGCTGACTTTTCAACTGCATTCTGCCTTTAGTATAGAATACAAAGGAGCAGGAATTGGAAAATAAAAGTGCTGACACAATTGATAAACATACATCTCCAACAAAGGAGGCAAAGATGGAAATCATTAGGCCTCCTGAAGTCAAACGCGAAGAAAAAGAACAAAATTATGCAAGGGGAATGAAATGCTATCCTTGGGTCCAAAAAACAAACAATTATTGGGGATTTTATAATCATCTTTAACTTTCCAGAAAAGAGGCTCCACAGTCACAGGCACATATCTAAATACACATATAAAATTCTGATGCAGACACATTTTCAGAATGTCATGTTCAAACATAGACACTATCATTCTGAACCACCCCTGCTGCCTACTGGGCAGATATATTAATTTTTGCCACTCAGCTCCCTTAGATTTTTGTTCACGTCATCAGTATAAAATCTAAAGCTCTATGGTAAACTTGATTGCTGGTACCTGTCGCTAGCTAGATCATAAACTCCTTGCAGGCAGGTTCTAGGCCTTACTAATCTCTGTGTCTGCCGGGCCTTTGAGGGTACCTCACTACAAAGGGGCCATCTGTAAAGACTGGAGAGAGAATGAATAAGTGGATAATCAGATTTACCTCTCTGAGATTCATTTCTTCTAATGGATTAGGGAAGAAAGAGAGGGGCCCATAGCCGTCAGGCCGTTGTCTCCAACACGGAGCTCCACTATGCACTTTGCTCTGTCCTTACCTATCCAGAGAAATGCAGCACAGGTGAAAAATTGATGCCGTTGTGAGCAGGACGTCTAGAGATGTCCGGACGAGGCAAAACATCTCCCCATAAATCCAGATGTCTTGAACCAACTCAATGGCACCAAAGGGCATCACCAGCACCGAAACCAGCAGATCCGCAAAGGCAAGAGATACAATGAAATAATTGGTTTTTATTTTCCTGTGAGTGAAAAGTATAAAGGAGAAAGCAGGGGCAGGGATGATGGAAGGAGGTTAGAGAGAAAGAAGCAAGAGAGAAAAGAGGAGGAAAAGAAAAGAAGGAAAGAAGGGAGAGAGGAAAAGGAAAGAAAAGTCAATATGTAATAGATTTTATAATGTTCAGTTTCCCCTCTGTAATAAGGCTGGAAAGACCCTTTGTGGTCCAGTCACTTCGGACTTCTCCAGACCTCCCTTGCACCAAAAGCCCTCTCTTCCTCTCCCCTCGGGCCACCCTAGCCTGATTTGAGCCCTCACCCCCACCCTGTGCATGGAGCCCCTCCAGAGGGCTTTGCTCTCTCGTCCTACCATTGGCCTAGCTGCACCTCACCCACCCTTCAGGCCTTGGTCTGCTCATTCTCAGAGAACCCTCCTGAGGTTCCCCCTTCACAAACGGTGTCAACTCCACCCTTCTCCACTCATAGACTGACTGCCATGTGCCTCACATTTGTGTCACCTTGCAGAACTGCACTCTTAGACTTTCTTTGCATCATCACTAGATTGGCGTGTGTCTTGCTCGGAGAGGAAGGCAGGAGATGAGGCAGGACTGCAGCTTTTATCCTTTTCTATGGCCTGGTGGCTTTCAATCCAGGCTGCATGCTAGATTCACCTGGTAGATTTTTATAAACATTGATGCCCAGGTCTCACCCCAGATCAGTTAGTTCAGGGATTTTCGGTGATTTAACACACTTGCCCACCCTCCAGATTTGCCAGATAAAATACAGGACACTCAACTAAATCTGAATTTCAGATAAACAATGAACAACTATTTAGTATAAGTATGTCCCAAATATTGCATGGGACATACTTATACCACACAGTAGCAATTTTATAAAGGTCTTCAGGTGATCCTAATTGCAGCCAGGGTTGAGAGCAAGGAAGTGGAAAGAGCAGAAGACCCAGGTTTAAATCCTAGGTCAGTCATGAGGCAGCCACCCCTTCTCTGAACCAGTGATAAAGCAGGGACATTAGATTAGATGTGCTCTCAACAACTGTATATATAGTCATCACAACTATTAAAAAAAAACAGTCTAATTAGAAAAAGAAGGGATGGAAACACAGTGCTTCTGCTGGTTATGTTGGAGTTGTGGGATTAGGTGTAATCTTTTTTAACCTGCTCTATTTTCCAAACATCGTCCCCACGTATTTTTTTTTCCTTTCATAATAACAAATTATAGTGAAACATCTGTGGTCAGACCCCAGCTCCCCAGGGAGAGCCCAGAACTCCAGCCAGGTTTCCCCATGAGGTCCCCTCCTGCTACCCACCTGAGCTGCCTGTCCCTGCACACAGCCACCATGACCAGCAGGTTCCCCAAGATGGCCATCAGGATCACCGCCGAGAGAAACGTGAGCAGCACAACTTTCTCCACTGACCCGAAACCCTCCTTGGAACTGTAAGACACACACACACAAACACAAAGAATTCAAGGAAACTCTGAGACACAGGAAAGAAAATCAATCTTTTGCTCATTCATCTTCAGGAAGGAAACTTCACCATCAGAGCTACAACACACATTTACTGCACACCAATTGTGCCAGTGTCTGCACTTGTCACTTCACATGTTATCCTAGTTAATTTCTACATAAGGAGGAGGAGGAGACTCAGAGAGGTGAATTAACTACCCTGAGATTGCACAGTTATTCTCCATCAGAGAACTCGTGGCTCTCCTTCAGAGCACTTTCCTCAGCTTGTTCTCAGAAATGCATTTGCTTGATTTCTGTTTTGTGCGCCTACCCAGCTATGTTGTAAGCTCCCTGAGGCAGGGACCTCATCTGTTTTATCCATTGATAAATTCAATTTCATTGTGTCAATCACATTTATCAGATGAAGAAAAGATGGCATCAGATGAATGAATGACGGTAACTTGAACCAGGCTCTGCATGAATATGAAGGCACCCTGTTTTCAGTACCCCATCCCAGCCCATGAAGAAGCTGCTGGGTACAGCTGGGCCATCCAGGGGACAGGTCATGGCTTGAGGGTTGTTCTTATATAGCTGACGTGGACGAATGGGTCTCAGATTCTGTGAAGTCCATTGGAAAGACGGCAGCCAATCAATAAACTTAGGGACTCCTTTCAGTGCCCTGAAGCACATTTCTGTTGGTGCTCGAGATAACAGTTCAAATTTGTGTTGCTGTCAATTTCAGCACCTGATTTGATCCTATAAACCCTGCCCTGCTAGTGTAAATCATTTCGTTTTATTAACTTGGAAGTGAATGTCTCCTGTCAATAAAAGCATATCTGCAGGTTATTCAGAAACTACAGGAAAAAGTTCTGGTTTTTTATTAGAGCAATAAACAGTTCTTTTTAAATGAAGTTTCAAAGGATCTTAAAACTCTCAGACCCAAACCTCACATTTCAATATGGAGAAACTGAGGCCCAGAGAGGGGAAGGGGGTTGTCAGAGCTTATTAGTGGCTGGTCTGGGAGAGGCTGCTTGTCCTGTGAGCCCACCACTGGGAACACAGGGTCCCAAGAATCAAGAAATGTCTGACTTTACTAAGCTCCTTTGACTGCAAACCAAGACGGCTGCCAGCCCCAAATGGCAGCAGCCCACCAGGTCCTGGCTCCAGCCTTGTCTTTTTCCATTAGACCTGGCACAGAAGACAAGGTGACGATTGGAATAAGGAACCAGTACTAAAGCGGCTGGAAAATCAGAAAGTCCCTCTGCTCTGCTGACAGGTATTTTTATTGACTGAGTAATTGATTAAAATCTTTATGGCTAGGGATAAGAAGAAAAGAAATTCAAGGTATGTTTATCTAAATCACCCTTCCACACCTAAATTCTAACTATCAACAGTACAAATATTGGACAGGGAAGATTTAACTCAATGAGGAAAAAGAACTTAATAGGGTAATGTGATGACCCAAAACTAATTTAGTCTTAGGTCATGTTAATGGAGGTAAAGTGTCTACCAAAGGAGGTGATAGAGGTTTTTAACTTGCCCTTCTCAAAGGTTTTGACTCAGAGCCCTTCTGGAACTTGTTCACTCCTCAAGTCCTCTGTCCTGGCTATACCTTCTTCCTGGAATGCTTCTTCTCGCCTTTCAGGTCTCAGATTAAAGTCAACCCCTGTTTAATGTGCCACAGCCAGCAAACAGTTCTCATTTCCTTTACAGCATCTGTTGCTACCTGAAATGACTTCTGTTATTGATCCTTGTCTGTGCCCCACCCCAGATTACCTTTTTCGCCACAATTTCCAGTGCCATGCACCGTCTAGTCTACAGCATGTGTAGTGTATAGGTATGTGTAGTACATAGGAAGTGCTCACTTATTTGGTGATTGGGTGGGAAAAAAGACATATTGTGTTCAAAATGGTGAGGGTTATTCTTCAGTGTCTTTGAGGTCTGGTTGAAGGTGGAAGATTTTACCTAGAGAAGAGAAGACCCAGTATGAGACAAAAAAGCTATTTTTAACTATCTGAAGGGTTGTCATTTGAAATAAGAGTAAATTTATGCATTCATTCATTCAACAATATTTTCTGAGCACCTACTCTGCATCAGGCATTGTTCTCTGCCCCAGGGAAGCAGAAATAAGCAAAAGAGAGCTCAGGCAATGAATAGACAAACAAGAAAACATGTAAAGTGTCCCCTGGCAATTCACACTATGGTAAAAAATCTGAGAGGGAAAGGAGGACAGGAGTGTGTGTGGGGGGAGGCGGGGGATGAAGGGCTGTCAGAGAAGGCTCAGGGAGGGGTTGTCCCGCTTGACACCCCACAGGTTGTGTAACTAAGGGGCCCAGTGAGTAGGCTTCAAGCAGCGCTCCCCAACTTTGGTTGCGTATTGGAATCACCTGAGGAGCCTTAGAACCTGCTGATGCTAGCACAACACTCTCAGAGATGCTGAGTTAATCCGTCTGGGTTGCAGCCTGAATATTGGAATTTTTTAAAGCTCCCAAGTGATTCTGATGTGCAACCAGGTTGCGAATCACTGCTAGAGGGAGGCAAGAGCTAGTGATGGATAACAAGAACTTTCTAACAACTAAGGATGATGTGCAATTTCTTCCTGGTGTTCTTTTGAGCTCCCTGGCTCAGGAAGTGTTTAAGAATACCTAGATGTCAATGAGATACCACTTCGCACCCATTAGCATGTTAATTAGCCAAACAAAACAAAACCTAAAAATAACAAGTGTTGCTGAGAATGTGGAGAAACTGGAACCTCTGTGCATTGCTGTGTGGTGGAAATGTAAAGTGGTGCAGCTGCTGCGGAAAATAGTTTGCTGGTTTTCAAAAGGCTGAATACTGAAAGGCCATATGATTCAACAATTCTAGTCCTAGGTATACACCCCAAAGAATTGAAAACAGGGACCGGAATAGATACACATACACCAATGGTCACAGCAGCATTATTCACAACAGCCAACAGGTGGAAACAACCCAAGTGTCCACCAACAGATAAACAGAATGGGGTGTACACCTACTGTGGAATTTTATTCAGTCACAAAAAGGAATGAAGGTCTGATACATGCTACAACAGGGATAAATCTTGAAAACGCTATGCTAAGTGAAATAAACCAGACATAAAAAGACAAATACTGTATGATTCCACTTACTTGAGGAGCCTGGAATAGGCAAATTCATAGAGAAAGAAAGTAGAATAGTGGTTACCAGGGGCTGGGGGGGAGGGCAATGGGAAATTATTTAGTGAGCATACAGTTTCTGTTTGGGTGATGAAAAAATTCTGGAAATGGTCACACACCATTGAAAATGCACTTATTGTCACTGAATTGTACATTTAAAATGGTTATTTTATGTACTAATGGTAAATTTTATGTTATGTATATTTTATCAGAATGAAAAAAAGGACACACGGATGACCATATATCAGGACAGTGTATAGGGCTCCTGTATTGGAGGCAGGTAGGACTGGCTGAGTTTAGGCACCTTTCCTGTCTGTGGACATTGATAACGAAGATATCTTTAGAATGTGGATTGTCTGTCAACTACATTCCTGCCATTAGAGCCATCTCTCCTGCACTGCCTTTCCTCTTGTAGGAGAAAAAAACAGATTGAGAGTCTGTGCTGAACTTTCCCGGCTCCAGAGAATGTCTATTTCATATCAAGTGGGAATGTCAGGGTCACAGAACCCCACGTTCAATGTTGTGGTTCCTTTGTGGCATGCTAATTAGGAGCTAGAAATAGTTAAACTTTAAACTGTGAGTGACAAGCAAAATTTAACCATAGAAAGAGCTTTTTTAATTAGGCAGAACCGTCCAATGAACAAAATGTTACGTCCAGCAATGATAATTAAAGTAAATTAGGAACCACTTCCGCAAAATCCATGTTAGTTAGATCCTTGGGTTACCTCTGATGCCCTCCAAGAATATTGTCAACCACTACCAGACAGTTCTCACCTGGTCAAAGAGCTGTCCACTCCACTAAGTTGGTTCTTTGACAGTTATTCTCATGAGAAATTTTACTTTCTCTTCTCTTTTGCTTTTACAGTGATCTCTTGATCCGTTAATAAAGAAACTCCACAAACTTGCGGGCTCTGTTTACCATTTACTCTGTCCTTAAAAGAAGACCTATGACAATAATTCTGGATAAATTTCTACATAGGTTAGTGTATGTGAAAGTGGATCATAAATGACAAAATACAACATAAATAAGTAATCATTGCTTCTCGGCCTTTTGGCTAAGATCAAGTGTAATAAGTAATCATTGTTATTAATATCAGAAGCCCATTCAGAGAAAATAGCTAAGGAAGTTTTAGATTATGCTTTGTTATATCATCCAGAACAACTGGTTTCAAGGTCACACACACACACACACACACATGCAAAATAAACTTTCTTAGGAGTCAAGAATACTTTTTTCTTTTTTTGTACTGGGCCTTGTTAATATTAACTACATAACTTCAAAAAAAAGTCACTTGCCTTCTCTGAGCTCAGTTTCTTCATGGATCAATTGAGGAAGTTAGATTAAACCTCTCACTTATCAAGTATGTATTGATTGTCAACCATACGCCAAGAGCTGTGCTCAGCACTGAGAAACAAGAGCAAAGAAGGTGGACAAAATCTCCACCTTCATGGAGTTCACACTACTGATGGAAACAGACAGCAAGCAAGTGCTCAACTAAAGAAATAAAGATAGCCAGTTTGTGATCAGTGTTCCAAGTCACAATCTCAAACTTTAATACTCATACGAATCTACTGGGGATTGCACTGTTAACATGCAGAATCTGCTTCTTTTGCTCTGAGGTGGGGTGTGAGGTTCTGCATTTCTCACCAGCCCTTAGGCTCTTGAAGAGCATGAGTGATGCTCATGCTGCTGGTTCGTGAGTCACACTTAGGGTAGTAAGACTATAAAGGGCATCTGCACTATGGTGTCATAGAGAACAACTGGGTTAGAGGGAAATGTTAGGGAATCAGGGAACACTGGAGGTCACATTTAGCTGAATTCTGATATACGTGGAGGATCCATGAGTTAGAGGAACCAGGAGAAGGGCAAGTGCAAAGGCCCTGAGACAGGAAAGACTCTTGTGCTCACAATCAGAGGGGAATGAGCAAAGGATGAAGAATCTGAGATGAGCTCCAAAAAGTAGTCAGGAGCCAGATCCTGAGGGCTTTGTCTGCGCTGGTGAGAAGTTATGTTTCATTAGACAATAAATGAGAATGCAATGAAGTGATGTAAGCAGAAAAGTGACACTGCGGATGTAAATGAGAGAGAAAGTAAGTAAACCTATCAGCGGCCCTTGCCAGAGTCCAGGTAAGAGAAGCCAGTGGCTTGCAGTAGGGTGGTGGCTGTGGAGATAGAGAGAAGTGGGTGGAATAAAAGTATATTGGGGAAGTAAAGGGAGAGATAAGCACAACAGATTCCATGGGTGGATAGGAGGAAGCAGAAATGAAAATTATAATTCTGATTTGCTTATCTGAGTAAACGTCGGTACAATTTAATGAGACTGAAAACATGTTAAGTGTGAGATATGCATAAAACATTCAAGTAGAGATGTCAAGGAGGCAACTAGATACTCGTCAGGAGCTCAGAAAGGATGACTGGGCCAGAGATACGCACTTGGGGTTTCCAGCATTTAGATCAGAGCCTGGGGGAGGGAGGCCATCACCCAAGAAGAGGGCCAGGGTCTTGACGAATTCCAATATTGAGACCTGCAGGAGAGACAGAGGAACCAGCAGAAGAGAGAGAATGTCCAGGGATGTCTGAGGAACACCAGGTGAGCATGTTGCTGTGGAAGCACAGAGCAAAGAAAATGTCGAGTGAAAAAAAAAAAGTGTTCCTTGGTAGCTCCCTAGAAATCCCACAGGGCCACCTCTGGGAATGAAGGGAGGCAAGGAGGTAGCAACTAGAGCAGTTCTTTTCCTTGTATGTATTGAACTTTGCAGGGAAGTTACATTTGACAGAGGACTCCATCATCAGACCAGTGATCTCCACAGAACGGCTCTCCTCTCCCGCCCACTGAGAGTGCCAACCACACGGGAAACATTCTTCGTGAAGATACATACAGCACATCCACAAAGGATCCCAGGCAGTTGGAATATTCCCCATACAAGTGTTTCCTTCACTCATCCTGCCCACCGCTGCATAGTCCTTTGCAAAATAACTGCATGTAAATTCGAGAAAAAAGTGTTCATTTTCTTACCGATCAACAGTCCGGCACAAAGAATGCAAAGGCACTCTAGCTTAAAAGAGACAGCCTGCCTAAAATGGGATGGTATTTTGCTAGTGTGAATTTTATTAGCTTTAAAGTGTAAGGTCCCTGGTGTTTTCTATAATAATGAAAGATTGGGTATTGACAAAGCCGTCCTTAACTTTCTCCTCTGCTTGATTTAACTTTAGACAGACTTCTTCCTGATTCTAGGCTCTGGCCTCACCTTTCTTAGAGCATTTTCTTTAGAAAACTTGTAAATTCTTTCTCCAGTCCTTTGGAATATAAATCTTATTAAAAGCCTCTTGGCAGTTTTATAAGCTAGGACTGTCTTCTTCTAGGCCCTGGTAGCCATCCCTCTGAAATGTAATCATCAGGGAAGAAAAAGCCCCAATCGCCCAGCCTCTGTGGGAGGGTAGGAGCCTTTCTTCGGTGGACACATCTCTCCCAGTTGCACAACTATCTTCTGCTTCCTTTGGATAAGGCCCATTAGCAAACACGGATGGCCTATGATCCACGCCCCCACTCCATTTCCAACAACCTCTCCTGCCCTTTGTTTCAGCAAAATTGAATTCAGACTGCATTCTGGTCTTTCTCCTCTATTGCAATGACCCTGAAGAAAGTCATCCTTACCTGTTTAACTTTGTCCAGTGCAATTTTTGCTGTGACAGTATACATAATTTTTTATCACTAATTATGTCGTGTATGCACTGTCTTCATTACCTTTATTACTCGCCATGAACAAAATCCATGAGAGCTGGAGTACGTATAGGAGAGCTAAACTCAGATAATATTTGCCTTGGTCATATTTATTATGTAATTTAATTTTTAAAATGCCTTTTTAATTAAGGTAGAAATAGTAGTATCCATGAGTCTGTTCATTGTTTTCCCCATAACCAATAACTTGAGAAATAATGTAACTGTAACTTTTTTAAAGCATACGCCATTTCCTTTAAATATACCCACTTTTTTTTCTAAGTTTCTTGAGAGACTAATATACAATGGCCAGACCCTATATAACAATAAAACTCTGACAATCTGTGCAGCAACCAGCCCAGAAAGGTGAGGACGTGTTCAATGACTGCCAGCTTTCCCTCCGACCTGCTTCCAACTCAAGACCAAGGAGAGAAAGCCAAATACGCTGCCCAACCAGTTACATAAGATGCCCTACTTTTTGTTAGTGCACCTTCTGCATCTCCATGTCAACAACCTCCAGAAAGAGCACAGCTGAAGCCCTGTTTTTTTCACCTCGAGCTTTTCTACCCCTCCACTTGACTTTGAGACTGCTAAATGCAAGTGATGATGGCTCACCTCTTTGCTATAGCAAGCTCTAAACAAACAGCCTCTGTTCTCATTCTGGTGGTCTTCATTTATTTCCACATTCTAGATGTGTCTCGATGTTACACTTACCTGGAATCTTATATTTTCAAATTAGTTAGAAGTCTTTCCTGGAGGAGAGGGTGTTTCTTATTATTTGTCTTACTTACAAATACTTACTTATTTGGCTTCTTAATGGTAAGTTTTCAGGTCTCCCTAATGTTTTTTTTTTTATGGTACGCTTTTTTTTTCTCACAAATGCCTTTTGTTTTAACAGAAGGATTAAATAAGATAATTCATATAAAACTGTACCATAATAAGGGCATCAGAGCAGTGGTGCTCCAGAATCAACAGGGAGCATCATGATCCCCTGGAAGGCCTGGTTAAAACACAGACTTCTGGACCCACTTGCACAGTATCTAATTCACTACATCTGGAGTGGGACCCCAAACGTGCATTTCTAACAAGCTCCTAGTTGATGCTGATGTGGTCTGGGAACCACAGTTTGAAGACCAGTTGACCTAAAGCATCCCAAAGGATGTCGTTGTTTACCCTAACCCTCATTTCTCCATTGCAAATTACTTTCTTTTCTCCTAGGTTTGGAACTTCCTCCTTGGAAGTGGGAAGAATTTAACATTGATTTATTGAGCACCTACCATACGCCAAACAATCCACTAAGGAGGTTTTGATGTTGGCTCATTTCCTCCTCACAATTACCATGGAATCTAATATCACGATGCCCTTTCTTCAGAAGAGACTGGTGCTCAGCACACTCAGGAGACTTAAGATTCTACCACTATCAAGTAGTGGACCTGGGATGTAAACCGACACGTTCTGATTGCAAGTCCAATGCTTTTCCCACGAAATTTTAAAGGTGCTCGTTTGAAATTGAACAAATTTCCTTTAAAAAAAAAAAAGACATGCAGAAGTTTTACTTTTTGTCTAAAAACTTAATATCCAAAACATTGATGATGACAGCTTAATTTGCCTTGTAAAAATACGCTGGCTATAGAAAATGGTAGGGAAAAAAAGAAATCCTTACAGGATGGAAATTATGCATAATGGAGTTTCTATGCAACTCTAAAAGAGTTCTTTTTGATTGTTTTTGAAGACCCTATAGAGGAGAGTGGGAGGGTAGGGGTGGTGGTTGGTGCACAGATGATGAAAGCTAAGTATTTTTCAAATGCAAACATATGGAGAAAAATTCTTGTGGTAAGCTCTTAATAGACTTGTCGAGGGCCTCAAAGATCACACATATTGGGCATAAGAAAAACTTCAAAGCCCAAAGAGGATCTGTCTGTAGAGAGTATAATGGAGTTCAAAGCTGCAAGGAATACAAAGGATGGCAGGATCAAAGACACTGTTCTCTGAGACCATGCCTGAATATAAAGCCAAGCCAGAACCAATGGGACCAGGTGAGATCTACATTTAGGAAGATTTTCCCTGCTGCACCGTGTTAACTACCAGGGCTTCCATTTTTCTTGGAAATAAAATAATAAAATGATAGTGACAGTAAATTATACCTTAGAGGTAAGTCTCTGTTTAAGAAAACTCATTCCTCCAAAATTGGAGGCAACAGTTCCAGAGATAAATTGTTTTTCTTTGCAATGTATTTTTTCTCTATATGCAGATTTAGCATAGGGTCTTTAGTTTGTTTTGCAAACATCTCTGCCCACAATTGTTCAGGATACAGAAATGCCCATCAGCTACAGAAATGTCTTCCTTTGGAATAAAACACATGGCATGTTTTCAGTATCTGGCTGATCATTTCCTTGAAATTATTCTTCTGGTTATGAGAAACCTAGCCTAGAGGAAAAATGTAGACTGCAGTCAATCATTTACTCCAAGGATAAGGGCTCAAGCAAAAGAGGAATTTCCCACACTCTGATAACAACCTGCCCCATCCATTTACTATAATTGGCCTTTGTCACTGGGTCCAATTGCTAATAGATCCAGCTCTGCATATTTTGCCAGGGTCCAGGCTTGCTGTTGCTAAGTATTATGATTTCTCTTCTCACCTCTGCTCTGACAGTGCAAAAATCTTATGCTCGGATGAAAGAAGAAACTATTTAGTGTTGCTCTACTGCAGAGGTAGCCAAACAACGGCCAGTGGCCAAACCCAGCCCACTGCCTGTTTTTATAAATAAAAGTTCACTGGAACACAACCACGCTCAATTGCTTATGTACTTTCTATGGCTGCTTTCCACTACAAAGGCAGAGTTCAGTAATTATGACGGAGCCTGTATGGCCTGCAAAAGCAGAAACTATTTGCTCTGACCCTTTATGAAACCAGTTTGATGATCCCTGCTCTTTTGGAACCACAGATAAGTTTGGCCCAAAGAAGAACATGGTATAGAGACACTAAGATCTATAAGAGCCAACTAAAAGGAACCTAGTTAACAGGAGTCATTCATTCCTCTGGATTTTCTAAGTGGAAAGTAGCATCATTCCAGTTGACCAAGCCAGAAACCAGGCATCTTACTCCATTTCTCCTTCTCTTTTCCCTAAGCCATTATCTACTTTGAGTGTCTCTTAAATCTCTTCACTTCTCTCTGGTCTGCTGGCAATACCCTCATGGAGGCCTTTCTGTGAACTTTGTCTAGCCTACTGAAGCAACTCACATCCTACGGCCTACTCTGTCTTCAGTTATCAGTCTACTAGACGGCTTAAGTTTAACATGTCTACAATGGAATTCTTGATTTGCCTCACCTCAACCCTGCTTCCCATCTCAATAAGCAGCAAACCTATTTTTCCAACTGCTCAGGCCAAAAATCTTGCAGTAATTCTTAATAAGCCTCTTTCTCTCATATGTCACATACATCAACAAATCCTGTTAGCTCTACCCAAAAAATGTCTTCTGAGTCTGATCCTTTCCCAGCTCCTCCACTATGACCACCCTAGTTTAAACCACACCATGCCTCACCTGGGTGATGGCAAAGCCCTTCCAACTGATGTTCCTGCTTCTATTGTTTTCTATAAACAATCCACTCTTCAGCCAGTAGACAGAAGGAGCTTGGTAAAATGTTTAGGTTGGAACATGTCACTTCCCTACTCACTGCCCTTGAGATGGTTTGTCATCACACTCAGAGTAATACTCAGACTTACTATGGCCTAAATGGCTGTACAAGGCTGGTTCTTGGCTGCTTCTACGATCTCAACTCTTACTACTTTCTCCTTGTCCCATGCTGCTTGCTCATCATTCCCAAAGGAGCTACCCAAGGTCTCTCATTTGATCTCCATCTGGATCTCTCTATTCCAAGGGATCAAAACTACCCACTTCCTCACTTCATTCAAGTCTCTGCTCAGATTCACCTCTGAAGAGAGGGCTTTCCTGACCACCATATCTAAAACAGGACCTCTCCTCTCACTCTCTAGACCCCATCTTGCATTATTGATTTTCACAGCTGTTACCTCCTATGCACTCCTAGACACTAAAATGTCTTGAATGTAATCTTACTAAAAGCAGGGACTTGGTCTGTTACGTTCACGGATGCATTTCTAGCACCTAGAACAGGGCCCGGCACATACAAGTACTCAAAAAGATGAATGAGTGAGTAACCTCTTAATTGGTCATCTGCCTTGACTCTTCCTCTTCCCAACCATTATCAGCACTGAAGCCAAAATGTTTTGTTTTGTTCTTCCAGAAGGAATTAATTCATCTCCACCTACCTGTCCAAAATCCTGTAATGTCCTCACATTGCAATTGCAATTGCAATTACAATTTTGGTAAAATACCAAATTTGACCTGGTTTAACCTGGTTCCTACTTAGCTCACCAGCTCCATTTCTGACACTGCTCCATAACTAACTCTACTACAGAGAAGTACCCAAATGTCCATTCAGGGAGGTGGGACACACTTGTTAAACCCTTCCTCCCCCTACCCTTCTTTACCTGGCAAGCCCTTGCATATCCTTTGTCCTCAAACAGCTTATTCCCTGGGAAGTCATCCTGTGTCTAAACCACTCTCTGAGCCAGATGTATTGGGGCCACCAGTCATCTCTTTGAGTTACAACTTATAATTGTTGACATCATATGCAGACTACCAAATAGTTAGCTGGTTTCTCCAAAGAATATCAGAAGCCTTTCCCAGGTTCCACTCTGAAGGCTAACAACACTTCTAAATCTATTTTCTGGTCACCTCCTTTTACTGAAGTTGTTGTGAGGACTAATTAAGGAAATAGATATAAAACACAGAATACTGCCTGACATATACAACATGCTCACAAATGCTAACTATTATGATTCATCTTTTCTGTTCATTTCAAATGTACACAAATGGCATTCACATTTGTCCTGGTCCTCTTGCTCATAGTATAGTAAGAAGCTCAGTCTGGTTGATGACTGATCACTGTGACAGCATGCTGTAATTCGGCTGGGGGCTGTTGAAATAACAAGTAAAAATAGAGTCCAGAGAAGAGAGGGAGTGAGTAAGAATACATTGGAGTTTTTCCAGA